ATGGCTTGGGTCAGGCGCACCTTAGTCCTCAAGCTGACAATATCATTAATATCACAAAAACGGTTAGAGCAATATAGTGACAGAGAACTGCCAGAAAGTCAAGTCAGATTCAGAAAAGGATGTGGAACAAGGGACATCATTGTTAACATCAGATGGATCTTGGCTGAAAGCAGAGAATATCAAAAAGTTTACTTGCACTTTACTGATTTTGCGAAGGTATTCAACTGTGTAGATCATTAAACAAGTATGGATAATATTGCAAAAAATGGGAATTACAGAACACTTAACTGTGCTCATGGAATGTGTCCAGAGACCCAGAGGTAGTCACGTGAACAGAAAGGGGCCACTGAATGGTCTCCTTCAGGAAAGGGGCGTGTCAGGGGTGTAGTCTTTCATCAGCTGCTTGCATAGCATTGTTTGTTTCTTTTCTTTAAAACTTGTTGTTGTGATTTGGGTAGAAGTTCACAGAGCAAATTGCTTTTCCATTCAACAATTCATAGACATTTTGTTTCATGACACTGACCACATCCCCACAGTGTAAAGACTCTCTTACAATTCCCTCCTTGTGTTGACTGTTTCCATCCATCCTTCTCCCTTATTTCATCTCCTGCCTTCTGAGCTTTAGTCATGGATACATGCTGTCCTTTTGATCTCCAATGATCGGTTATTCTAAGACGTTTTATTGTTCACCCGATAGGTCTCTCTACCCTCTGACTGAAAGTTGATCCCTGGGGATGACTGAGAGGCTTAGTCTCCAGGGTTTCACTGGTCCCTATTAGACTGATGAGCCTGGTCTTTTTATGATTTTGTGTTGTGTTACATATTTCTCTCCTACCTAGGACTTCGCATGATGATCTCTTTCAGAGAGGTCAGCAGTGGTAACCGGGCACCATCTAGCTCTTCTGATCTCAGGGTTGTGAAGACGAGGGTTTCACATGGTCAGTTGTCCTCTGGAGTAATGAATTTTCTTGTGTCTTTGATTTTCTTCACTCTGCTTTGCTCCAGTTGGTGAGAAACCAATAGTCGCACCTTAAATGGTCATTCACAAGCTTTTAAGACCCTAGTTGTTACTCACCAATGTAGAATGTAGACTCTTGTCTTTGTAGACTATGTTATGCCAATTGACTTGGATGGTTCCTGAGAATATCCCCAGGCCCAGCAACTTACTCCCTTAAAGTGTTTGGTTAGGGTTTATAATTTCCCCCTGTATGTTCCATTATGGAACATGTGGCACTGGAGGATAAGCACTGGACTGCAAGGTCGGTTTGAACAGCAAGGTTGAGCAGGTCCTTGACGACACTTAGCACCAACACCAACATGGTCCATTATTGGGAGAAAGATGAAGCTGTCTCCTGTCACACAAGATTTACGGTCTCCAACATTAAGGAGCAGTTCTACTGTGTCCTACAGGGTCACTATGAGTTGGAATTGAATCGATGACATTGTTTTCTTGTGTTTGTTTTATTTTCCCCTTGAGGCTCTAGAATAGTCATGGGTATAATTTGCAGCATACATAAATATAAAGGGGCTTCAAAAAGTTCATGGGAAAAATTCCCTTACCTTTGAGTTCCATTTTTCTGTGTGCTTTTTGAAGGCCCTCACACATTTGTGGGCCTGTCCTCTGCCACACATCTGTGGCTGCAGGCCTTGCCACTGGCCAACACCTAGTCAGCGGGCACCTGCCTGCGCATTGAGCCCAGGTCTTTGCTACCCCTGTTGCTGCAGGACTGCGGCTGCACCGACCGTCGTAGTCTTTACAACACCCAGACTTGTGTGCATCTGTGGCTTTCCTGCCCAGTGTTGAGCAGTGGGCCATTTTATGAATGTAACTCATCGGTTTACCTGTTTGGAATCTGTCCGGTTTAGGAACCTTAGGATCAAAACTGCTGTGTGCATCCTCACCCGAGGCTTTGGCAGACGCCCATTTGCTTGATACATCCATCGCCCATGGCTCCAAAGAGCCTTACCTTTTTCATTTGTGACGGAGATGAGGATGAAGGGTCCGATGCTCAGGAAGGTGAGTGTGATGACTAGCTTCACAAACGCGTTGCCGGCATGGGTGAAACAGAAGCTGATCAAGTAGATGAAGGGGATGATGGCCCAGCCGTAGAGCATTAGCACCAGGAGTGCGGCCAGGAAGTTCTCTCCGTGCGTGAAGGCTTCTTCTTTGTAATGTACAAGTGCCATCTTGGAAGGGGCGGGGGACAAGACACGGGGAGCTCCCTGTGACACTCTGGAAGTTTTCAGGCTGAGCTGATGGCAGGGCTCTCTCATCCACTGCTGCCGGAGGAGGAGCAAGCACTGAGGAAAGCTGCAGCCGCCACCACAGTGCAGCAATACTGGGGGTAGGGGCTCCAAAGAGGGATGCATAAAGGAACCAGAAGCAAGTACCCTGTAGCAAGGAGCTCTGGTAGCGTAGTGGTTATGAATCGGGCTGTGAACCTTAAGGTCAGCGGTTTGAAACTACCAGCCGCTCCGCGGGAGAAAGATGAGGCTTTCTACTCCCGTAAAGATTGACACCCTCGGAAACCCTGTACAGGGTCGCTATGGGTCGGAACCAACTCGATGGCACTTAACAACAACAACAACAGCAGGTACCCAACGGTTCCCTGCCATGATCCCCACCTCTCCCTCTCTCACTGGGATGAAGGCCGTTTCTCAGCAGTGTGGGGAGTGGCTGTGGGGAGGTCATGGAGCCTGAGCCCTGGAGCAGGTCCCCTGGAACTAAGCCTCTTTCACTGAGGGTGTGCCAACCCAGGAGCCCAGACTCCCATCAGTTAGCTCTGGTGGGGCTCCTCATTGGCAGGGCAAATCCCCCACACCCAAGCCCTCGGCCACGCTCACCAGCAGCAGCAGGCTGGGGACCAGGAAGGTGAGGAGGTCCCACAGCAGCGCGGGGAGCCAGAAGGTCGCCACATGGACGCCGCTGACAAACTGGACGTGTTTGGCCTTGTTGGTGTTCTCCTTCACTGTCAATATGGAGAAGGAGCTAGACAGGAAAGTTATTCCAAAGAGCAGGTTGATAACCAGGTAATGCACCTTGAGACCCCTGCAAGAGACAGGACACAGGGGGCAGGCCGTGGTCTCAGGGGACCTGCTTGTACTTCAGAGAGGACACAGGATGGCGCAGGCGTGGGGAGGCACATACTCGTAGAGGATGTCCTCGGAGGCCTCCATGGCACTCTGCGGTTGAGGATGGTTGATGAGGGTAATGGTAGCATTGGCCCCAGAGAGCAGCTTAAATAGAAAGTTGTCCACCAGAGTGACGGCCAGGGCCGGGGAGTGGAAGGCCTGGTTGTTGAACAGAGCCGTCACGAAGGTGTGGCCTTTGACATCTTCAATGGAGGCTGCCACCACATAGCGCGTGTCAAAGCCCTCAGACTCTTCCTCTTTCTTCAGCAGTAGGAACTCTTCTATGGGACCTGGGATGGGGCCCAACACCCACCGGGCAACGAGCAGTGAGGGAGGCCTCGCCGCTCCTCACTGATCTCTACTGTGTCTGCTGGCTGTCCCCAGCAGAGCCCCCTGCCTTCCACTGTGCATCTTCGGTCTCCCCGGCCTCCCCTCCCCCAGAGCACACTCACAGCTTCCTTCTGGCTTCTCCTCACTCATTGCCTAGGGTGGTCTTCAGTACCTTCTCCTCAGCCTTCAGGTCTTAATCTGACAGCGCTGACTCCAGCCCTCCCAGTCAGAGCCGTCCCCATACGAGCCCTGACCCGTCAGCATTGAAATGATGGAGTTGTTACCCATAGGACCCTGGAGCATTCTCAGCACATAGTGTCATGTGACAAATACTAGTTCTGGAAGGAGGGGCCAGGTCTAAGTCTCCTGCTTTGCATGTGAAGAGACAGAGGTAGGGAGGGCCCTGTTAGCCATGTTCTCTACCATTTGGTTACATCATTGTCTGCATCCGCTCTCTACTTTGATTTTTACAAAACACAGTTGTTGTTAAGTGCCATCAAGTCAGTTCCAACTCATAGTGACCCTGTACAGGGTTTCCTTGAACTGCTGACTTTGTAGTTAACAGTAAAACACAATTCCTTTATGCTTTTATCTTTCATTATAATAATTAACAGCCACCAGCCCACTAGCTGCTCCTTGGAAGCCTATATAGAGTAGCTTTGAGTCAGAACTGCCTCCACGGCACTTAACAACTTAACAACAAAACCCAAGCCACTGCACTGCTGACCAGTGGGTTCTGACTCATCGGGACCCCACAGGAGGTCTCTGAGGCTGGCTGTCTTTACAGAACCAGTTGCCGCATCTCTCTCCACAGCGCCTGGCTTTGAAACACCAATCTTCCACTTAGCAGGCTAATGCTTTAAGCACTGCATGACCAGGGCTTAACACATGGATGCACGTTTTAAAATTGAGTCCTCATGAAAGCTTGCAGTGAGACCAGGTAGTCTTCCCCCTGCCCTCACCCTCCCTGGGGCCTGCTCCCCAGAAAAGCTCTTCCCCAGCCACTTTCAACCTCTTGCCTACTATGATCACTGTTTCTAAACCACATGCTTCCACCTCTTGCTCCTGATCCTTCAGGTCCAGCAATTAGCTACTGACCTCTTGGTTTCCTCTCACAAGGGCATCACAGCATCATGTGGGCGGAATCCATTGTCAGATTTGACATGACGCTGATAAAGGAGATGTTACACACAGCTACACCAGGTAGTGTAGGAACGGACTTCAAAAAATTCGTGAGAAAAGTCCACTACCTCTTAATTCCATTTTCCCACGAGCTTTTTGAAGTCCCCTCATATTATAAATTGCCTGCTTGTTACTAAGTGCCATGGAGTTGGTTCTGACTCACAGTGAGCCTGTATAGGGTTTCCAAAAAGTGGCTGGTGAGTTTGAACCACCGACCTAGTGGTTCAAAGCAACCTTACAGCCTAGTGCTTGTCCTACAGCCACCACACCAGGACTCCCATAATATGATTAGACCTCTTTTATGCATGGTTTCCCCTGGAGGTACTGACTTCCTCCTTTGCTCATCTGTTTCATTTTCTAATGCTGTTGGAGGTTGTGACATTTTGTTGAGTCCATTTTGCCTCACAGTGACCCTAGAAGACAGAGTAGAACTGTCACAGAGGGACTTTGAGGGAGCAGATCCCAGGTCTTTTCTCCCCTGGAGCCGCTGGCAGGACTGCAGACTTTGTGGTTAGCAGCCAAGCTCTTAACCCCCTGTGTTACCAAGGCTCCTTGGCTTTCTAATATCACCATTCTCGGGAGGGAGTGTAAACCGTAGGCAATTCAAACACACTGGGTTGTTCTTCAGTGTCTCTCTGGCTGTCCCTTCATCCCTAGAGACACACACATAGTCTCATTTCCAGGAGCTGTCATTTCGCGGTCACACTGGAATCTGAGAGATGGTTTCTGAAACTGTCTACTGCAAGCTCAGCTGGGCAGTGCCACAAAGAGCAGAGTGTAGGCCGCCTTCCTACTTAGTTCTCGGGCACTCGGCACCTACCTTGCACCTCCAGAGGGGTCTGTAACTCGGCCACCAGCATTGCGGCAAAACTTTCGGAGAGGTGTGAGCCCAGTTTGGAATCCTTAGAAATGAAGAACGGCACAATGGTTTGGCCATGCGTTTGCAGAGTCACCTCCAGGGGGACGTTTTCCAGACTCAGGGTCTTGAGGTTGAAGGACATGAGGCTGAATACAACGATCGCCAGCGGCACCAGGACCTTAATAGACAGCAGCATCATCCAGTTGCGCCAAGAATAGGTCATCCTTTTCAGGAATACGGCATAGAATTGTTGGCAGAGAAGATGGAACTGGGGGAGGAGACGGGGGGGTGGGGGGGGACACCGCATGCATGTTAACGGGGCCACAGAAATGGCGTCGGCGCAGTGGTGTTTCAGCAGCAATTGCAGGAGCCTTCCCCAGCGGGTGGCCATTTGCTTCGGGTTCATACTCTCTGAATTTATGGTTTGACTGGGATTGAATGGCAGAGAGGAGACACAATGGGGAAGAATCTGGAAGAGTAGTCTGAACAGAAACCATACGTAAATGGAAGCAAGATAGAGCTTTCCCACCTACCAGATTGGCAGGAAAAAACATTTTTTAAAAACATTTTATTGTAATTTGGGTGAAAGTTGACCAAGCAAATTGGTTTTCTGTTCAACAACTCACAGACCTTTTGTTTCCTGACACTGGTTGCAGCCTCTACAATGTGGCGGCACTCTTCCCCTTCCTTCCTGTGTTCCCTGTTCTCCAGTCGTCCTCCTTCCTGTCCCTTCCTGCCTACTGCGCTCGATTCCCGGGTACATGCTGCACTGTTGAGTTCATAGGGCTGGGTGTTCTAAGGAGTGCGTACCTCCCTGGTGTTAGCCTAACCTCACAGGCCTGTGGGGTGAGCTAAGCCCCAGGTCTGACCGGTAACTCAGGACCATGGTCTCTGGAATTCCACCAGTGCTTTTCAGATAAGTCTGGCCTGTTTTTCCCTTTTTAAAAAATAATTTTGAGTATTGTTCCATATTTGATTTCCACTTTATCTGACTGGCAAAAATTTACAGTTGACAAGGATGTGGGGAAAATGCCACTGTGGGTGGGTTGGTGGATCTTCATTTATCTTTAACCTATCAATTCTACTTGGTAATGAACCCTAGGACTCCTAATGTGGCGCTGTAGGATCAGCACTTGACTGAAAACCACAAGGTCAGCAGTTCAAACCCACCATCTGCTCCTTGGAAACACGATTCAGGGTCGTTATAAGTCAACAGCCCTTCACACCAACAATGAACCCTATAGACACACCTGTGTAGCTCTGTGAGGCCCACACACAGGGATGGTCAGCATCAGTGCTGTTGTGGTGGGTGCTGTCGGCTCAGTTCTGGCTCATAGCGCTCCTACGCACAACACAACGAAACCCTGTCCGGTCCTGTGCCAGCCTCACAATGCTTGTTACACTTGCGCCCACTGTTGCTGCCACTGGGCCAGTCCATCTCATTGGGGGTCTTCGTCTTTTTTGCTGACCCTCCACTTTACCAAGCGTGATGTCCTTCTCCTGATAACATGTCCGAAGTATGAGACATGAAGTCTCCCCATCCTGACTTCTACGGAACACTCTGGTGGTGCTTCTTCCAACACAGATTTGTTTGTTCTTCCGGCAGGCCACGGGACTTTAAACACTCCTCTCTAACACAATAATTCAAAGGCATCAATTCTTCTATGACTTTGCTGCATTTTTCTCCTTTTGATCAGGATACTTCTATGGAATCTTCTGTCAGAATGTTCAGTAATGTTAGCCCAGGACTGGCCAGTACTTCTGGTCTCAGCACAGGAGGCCAGAAAGTTGTCCAGCTTTCACTTGCATATGAGGCTACTGAAAACACCAGGGCTTGGGTCAGGCGCACTTTCGTCCTCAGACTGATATCTTTGTTCTTGAATATTGTAAAGAGGTCTTGTCCATCAGTGCTAGAAAAGGTCAAAGTGCACAGAGAGAGCTAGAACTGGCACGGTAGGAAAGGAGACCCTTGGGTCCGTGCTAGGCGCTTCCATGTTGCTGCTCGTGGCTCCTACAAAGCTGTGGGCAGGCAGGGGCCTAGCTCTTCACCGTCTTCTGCACTACTTTCTTCTCAGGAGGCGGTTTGGGGGCAGGTGTACTCGTCAGGCATTTCTTAGTTCTTGGCCAGAACACTGGCAAATACCTGAAAATGTGTATCACACAACACCAAGAGTTCCACGTTCCACAGAAGGCAGGTTACATTCACTTCCGGCAGGCATTTAAATGTCAATAAGCTCACACGTAAGGTGGTATGTACACTGAGAGAGACTTATAGCTGTCTCCAAGGGGCGTTTGGAGACCTCCTCACTGGGACTGGAGAAGAGTCTCCTGTCTGTAGAGACAACCCCCAGATCCTTCCCATATGGACAACTTCCCCTGTCATGTATTGGATTCAAGTTTATGAAACAATAAATTTAATCTTTTTACTAATCCATGACAGGCAGTCTCATCATTTTACAAAAATATCTTGTGGGTAGTTAAATTAAGACAACTTTACGATGAATCTTAAAAGCCTGTGAGTGGCCACCCAAATTACAACAATTGGTCTGTGTTTACCGAGAGGAACAGAGAAAGGAGAGCCAGTCCTGGGTGAGAGAAATGGAACATGTGACTCGATGCCTCCTCTGCTATGAGAGCTGGTCCTGGGCTACCGTTACTGAACATTCTGACAAAAGATTCCACAGACGAATCCCGATCAAAAGGGGGAAATGCAGAAAAGTATTTCAAAGTCTCATGGGCTTCTAAAGCCACTGAGGATGGATGTACCTCTGACACAATTGCCCTAAGATCACCTTTAAACTTTAAACCAAAACTATCCCACTAAGTCCTTTAAGACCAAACAATTGAGCTAAATTTGTCAAAAAATTCTGCCTTGAGCAATATGCTCTTTTCAGAATGATCTCTATGGGACCAAATGGACAACTTGAAAGATTAAGTAGAAACCTTAGGCGGGCGGCAGTCAATTTATGTTAATAGCGAGTGTCAGGGATTGAATTATGTCTCCTCAAAATACGTGTCGACATGCCAAGGCCATGCTGTGTGTTGTGAATGTTTGCCTGTGGTAAATGAGGAAGGATCAGGCCACAGCTGTTATGTTAATGAGACAGTATCAGGTCACACCTGTTATGTTAATGAGGCAGGATCCACTCACTGTGTTATGTTAATGAGACAGGACCAGGCCACACCTGTTATGTTAATGAGACAGGATCAGGCTACAGCTTTCTGTTAATGAGACAGGACCAGGTCACAGCTGTTATGTTAATTAGGCAGGATCAGGTCACAGGTTGTTATGTTAATGAGACAGGATCAGGTCACACCTGTTATGTTAATAAGACAGAGATCACACCTGTTATGTTAATGAGACAGGATCAGGTCACAGCTGTTATGTTAATGAGACAGGACCAGGTCACAGCTGTTATGTTAATGAGACAGGATCAGGTCACAGATGTTATGTTAATGAGACAGGACCAGGTCA